CGGGGGGGGGGGGGGGGTTAAGGTTGATAGGAGAGCCTTTGAAAGGAAAGGGGGGCAAGGGCCGGAAAAGGAAAATGATGGAGGGAGATGGAGGTTTGATTCGATCTTTTTTTCTTCTTCAAATAGGACACCATATTCTTTTTGTCTCTCTCTCCCTCTTCTTTCTTTCTCTTTTATGGTTGAGAGAGAGGAGAGAGGACTTGAATCAGATAGAAATGTTTTTTATTTGAATGAGTTGTGTGTGTGTTCGTGTGTGTGTGCGTGTGTGTGTTCATGTGTGACGAGATGAAGAGATGATGTGGTTCTATTTTTTGACTTGAGTGAGATCTTACCCATGTAGCTACAGGCTACAGTAGCTGGTTTGTATTTGGAGGTGCTACTGTAATGTGTGAGGCGAGATAGATGGTCTTCCCGGATTATGGTATAGTATGGGGTAAGTTGATGCCCCGGCGCGCGGGGGATATCGAACCGGTACCGTGTGTGTGATGTATTATTACTCTACTGTACTGTAAGATTACCCATGTCTTCCCCGCCTTTTTCTTTTTTGGGGATGGGAATGGAAATGGGAATGAAAATGGAAATGGAAATGGAAATGAATCAAGTAAGGGTGTTGTTCGAGTACTTATGGTACTCGAACAGGTATATATCCCAACAGGAAGTGAGTAAGTACAGCAGATACAAAATACAATCTTGAAATGAGTTGCTGCGGGAAGAGAGAGGATGGATGGATAGGTGGATAAAGATACCTAGCGTTCAACGGTATTGGGAAACTTGGTGGCTGGCTTTCTGACAGTCGGGTATTTGATTTGTTTGTGGATGGGTCGTGATCTGGGGTGCGTGCTGTATGTGTAGCTTGTGTGTGTGGGTGTGGGTGGATGGATGGGTTTACTGGCGGCTCGTGTACGTATTGGGTTTTTGATTTGTGAGAAGAGTTGGGTGGTTATTGCTGGGTGGATGGGTGATTGGTGGTTGTGATGGAGTGGGTGAAGTAAGTGGGTGGTGGGTTGTGAGGTTGGATGGGATGTATGGGATGTGGAGAGTGAGGATGAAATTAGAACCGGGGCTAGGAAGGGCTAGGAAGGAAAGGGAAGTGTCGTAGTGAGGCGAGGTTTTTGGATATAGCCAGCCAGTCAGACGTTGGGAAGTGAGTGATGGTTTTGGTATGTTATGGATCAACTCTAGGGTGTTGTTGGTATGGTTCTGAAGTTTGCGCTTCCTGAGCGATTGGGATGTAAGAATGCGATGTCTACGGAACGGACGTGGGACGATCGAGCATGGAATCTCTAAATGAATAAACTATTAATTATAAATAAGGTACTGTATAGATCTACGATTGAAGGAGCTAACTATCGCCTCGCTCACTGTCACACTGCCTTATCGTTGTCCGTTCCGTACTAGCAGATGTCTTGTTAATGTCAGCTTCAAGGGCTGGATTTTGCGGCTCCTTCTTTCCCGGCGGAAGACTAAGCGAGAGGTTCACTGTTTTTATGGTGGACTGATGCGGTGAAGTGGGAGATGTGCTTTGCTTGTTTGTAATTTTTAACAACATCTCCTGTCGCTGGAAGACTTGAAAATTCTGAACAGTCATCTGCTTCTTGGTCTCGTTCAAAAGAGTTCAGATCTTGTTACCCAGGCGTATTAAATAAGTAGAGTAGAGTAGAGTAGAGGCACCTACTTAACACTACTTAAGTAGGTTTTAGCCCTACTCAAACCTACTCGCCAAGAATTGAGTAGGTTAGAGTACTAATCAAGTAGAGTTACGCTAGTCTGCCCGAGGCCCCGTAGCGCACCTAGGGTACTCCGACTGGTCAGTGTACCTACTTCGGCTTAGACTCCCTTATACTTTTAGAAAGTAAATAGCGTAAGATATACTGTTTTACTAATTTAGTAAGGAAATATTTATGAATATACGCTATAAGTGCGCTAGCGAGTAGCTCTTTAGCTAAGGGGCTAAAATTTTAATAATAAGTAAGAGAGGTGAGTATTACTTTTATATGCGCTATTAAAAGTTATTATATTAAAACTCTAGTACAAGTAAATTAATTGTCTTATTTCACCTAGTATAATAAGAATTAAAAAGTAATAATTGTTCTAAACTATTTATATAATTAATTTAGTTATATAAGGTCTCGATTATAATATTTCTATAACTCTAGTATATATAGAGTAGTACCCGCCTCTCTTACTCGTTATTTTATACTTTAGTTACTATTATATAACTACTCAAGTATACTTAAGTAGTTGAATCCACTACTCTAACCTACTCAACCAGACTATATACTTGTAAGAGGTATCGGTTATATACAGAGTGTATATAAGACAGTGGAAGTAGGATGGTCAGATGACTGTTAGGTACATCGGGAATCAAAAGAGTAAGAATTTGACTTGTGAAAATGACTTGATTTTTCTAACTATAAGGACAGTAAAGGTCTATATATACTCCTTAGATAGATTCTAGGAGGTTCTATAGATTATAAATAGAATAGAAGTGCTTATAAATAGANTTTTCTAACTATAAGGACAGTAAAGGTCTATATATACTCCTTAGATAGATTCTAGGAGGTTCTATAGATTATAAATAGAATAGAAGTGCTTATAAATAGAAAGGGATACTAGAATGTTTCGGTTCACGTGATCGAACGTTCTAGAATAAGCGAGAACAGACTAAGGTTTAAACCTAAAGTCTATTAGTAAGTAAGGTAATTATTACCTAAATGATACAATACTCAACCCTAATTCTAACCTAATTAAGTATAACCCGTATATACTTAATTAGCTGAGTATTTCATTCTTACGCTGTTGTTACCGCACGAGTACTCTTAGCTCTATTATTTCTCTTGCCCTCCTAGCTAGCTCCTCTCTCTATGCTTACTTTGTTCTCATATTGTATATCTTGTTAAAAAGATCTCTGGCTTCGCTTCAATTCTCCCATCTCATGCATGCTTCCAGTGGGCAAATGAAGTTCCAGGGATTTTCTTTTCTTTTTAAATCTTATTTGCTGTAAGTTGTATTGAAGTAGAGAGAGACCCGTGAGCCAGCCCAACTGTAAAGCTTTCTCTCCATCAACTATATGATCTTAAAAACTCTGATAAAACTTTATAACTTCAGTTACGCCAAATGAAAAGGACTCTCTGCCGCTTTTCTTGTTAACAGGGACTTTGGGAGATATGGTTTGAGTGCACTGGGCTTCCTGATTCCGGTAATATACTTGTCCACGAGTCAACAATTCAGAACCTTGGATGGTATTACAACAAGTCGTCTTGCTATTGTGCAACAAATCTCGTTTGTATCTTTGGGATACTGTAGTAGGTACTGGTACTACGTATCCAAATTCCTGAATGTATACTGTAGGCTGCATCCTGGGACATTGCATTTTCAGGCTAATCTATTGGAACTTGTTGGGACTGGGAAGTTTTACGTGATGATTTCTGATTCGAGATTTTCACGCGTCTCTGTGTTTCGCTATCAAATTGAATATTCGTAGTTTTGCTATGCGGAAAAAAGATGAACAATTTTCGCCTGTTTATGGAGTGACATTGCAATCTTCTAATACTAAGACAACTCAGTGCTCGCAATTTCTCTCATACCACGTAAGGAAACCATACTCAGGCTCAAGGGTGTGCGGAACGAGCTATAACAGCACTGGTACGATTCCATTTCTTTGGTAGCGAGCTCACGGAGATCTGAACCTCGGAATGATTACCTCCGAAGTCCCTACAACAGCAGACAAGTTTCTCAATAGCATTGAGCTTTTGAGAAAGAGGAACTCACTCATAGCTTCCAGAAAGCTATGGGACTCGTGAGATAAGATTTCAGCTTGTATTCCGGGATTTGGAGAGTAGAGAGAGTATGCGGAAGCAAAAGCGATTTGGACAGAGTGAGTAAACCAATGATGGTCATATGATCCGAGCTTTCAGAACAACGTTTCTTCTTATGTGGAAGCCTTCGTATTTTCACAGGACAGTTACACTGGATAACCATGTGTGTGAACCAATCTCTTTCAAAGGACCCAGTACGTATCGTGGCTTCCGAACCGAATGGATTAATATTTCGAGATCGTACATTCCAACTTTCCAAGATAGCAGCAGCCTCCACGTTACCCTACAAACTTGCGACTAATAGACAATCCGTCCACCGCTGACCCTTTACACCCATACATCCCGCAAAGCTCGCTAGCAGTCATATTGACTATCAGGTCTAGCATCTACCTGTTGAGCAATGACACGTGCCAAGTCCATATCCAAGTCTACATGTTAGCAAGAACCTTTATGTACCTACTACAGCAACGTAGACAAAATAGTAACTAGAATCAGGTGCTCAGGTATGCATTTGCGCGCAATATTTCAAATTGCAAAGGCCGCAAAATGGGCAGTCATCCGTGGTTGTACGTGACTCTCCTCCCACTGCTTCCACAATGCCAGATAAGAGCATGATGGCTGTGACAGCGACTTGGTATGTAGCGAAACGCATTTTGACTGAGGTTTGATGTTTGATGTGTGATATGATGCCGTATGCGTGAGTGTGTATGAGTTTAGATGAGTTTAGATGGGTGTGATAGGAGGTTTACAGGACCACAATGGGGAATAGTTGAGGGGTATTTATAACAGAGGTTACCTTCTCTCCCAGCCTTCACAAACGTCATTTTGAATGATTGAGAACCCAAGTTTCTCCATGGAAACTTACGGTGTTTTGGTAAAGTCTATTGTTATTGTCCTAACCGAACTGACGGATCCGAACTAGTTTTGAGTTCAAGCTAGCTGTTGAAAAGTTGTTTTGCCTTTTACAGTACCACCAAATCTTACACCCTTGACTTATTTCGAGAAGATTTAGAGAAGGTATAATACCAAATTTGTTACAAGACGGTAGAACTTCCTCCGTAGTGATATACAGATCCACTTGGGCTTAGTACGGAGATTCGCCCCTGCACCCCGGTCTTTTAACTTGAGGTGTTTGTATCACAACAACAACATGAAAGAAATTGCTGAAAAAAGCGATGATTATAGAGCAGCATTCAAGGATATTTCGAGCCTTCAAACGAAGTGTCTTGAATGTAGTTTCCTCAAGTAGTAGAAAGTTAAGACTCGTAGGCAGGGGGCAAGGGGCAGGGGTGACAATACTTAAAGTAACTGCTGTCCATTTGTATACGACCACAGTTCGCGAACATCCAGGATTCCTTGCCATTATGTGCTTGGCATATATAATAAACCATAAGAGAAAACCAACGCAAAGCCACGGGATACTGTCTCATCCCAGTTATTGCGCATATACTTTACAACTTTAGACGAAGATGCAAAGAGTGGAAATGAGGGGAAATAAATCGCAGTCTAAGCGTGTGCTCCTCATGTGCTAATTCCCAGTCTACCGGTATAACCATTCATTCGTCCATACAAGGTCGGCAAGGCTACGTAGAAACACGACGGGTTACTTTTTTCATTTTCCAATAATACTTTCCCCCCTTCCCGATCCTACTATTGAGAAGAGGGCAAGAGTTCCAGAATTGAACTCGTAGTATAAACTACCGGATAAATTACATTTAATTACTATACCTAGAATAAAGCCCAATCCCGGTGACTTCATTCGCCTGGGCTAGCCTGGCCTAGATCATAGAATACCCACGGGACCCTTCGTATATGCCGGGCAAAGGAAGACTTGAATGAACATGTAGATGACTGGGCCAGAAGAACTTAAGCTAAGGAGTAGATAGTTAATAGAACTTCAATAAAGTGTATCGCGGCCGCGTTAATGAATCTCTAAGCGAGGCACGTAAAAGGTCCGAAGGATCGAAGCGACTCAAGCTTCTGGAAACCATAACTCAAGGTTCATATAGTGGTGAACCGAACAACGTTTTTTATACTGGCGTTTTTCTGGAGTAAGATAACCCTTTCCGAGAAAACCCAAGCTAAACTCTACTAATGCATCATAGGAGGAACGGTGGTCGAAGCCTATATTCAAGTTTTGTTACGTTCTTCAATAGAAAAAGTCAATACTCACAAACGTCCTTACCAAAGTAGCAATTTTCAGGTCGTCGTCTACTCCATGACCCCAGTCCCAGAATTTCTGCTTTGGTAAAGCGTAACATCGATTACGTTACATCATTCCCCATACCTTCTTCCCAAAAGATAACAATGGCACATAAGATACATCCTCACTATCCCTGAAGTTCCTTCAACAGTACCACATCCACCACACTCAATCCAGGAACCCCTCCCCAAAAAGCAAAGATCTACAACACGTTTTCTTGCTCGTTCCCTATACGTCGTAAAGAACTCCACGAAATCCTTCACAGCACTAGTTCCCCTTCATCGCTATGATTTCCACCCCGCCCGTTGTTCGCCATGATCTTCCACGAATAGCGCTCCCACGTGGTTCAGCAGCTTCGTGGCGGCCGGGAAATGCCTTGCATGAAGAATCGATCAGCTTACCCTTTCCCCTGCTTCCCTCTGGCGGAGTGTGCTTGTTGGGGGAGGTATCTCCGTGTAACTCGATGACTGAGGCGCGAAATGCCTGATTAGGTAGGTGGGGGATGTTTGGAGACGTGTAGGAGATAAGCATCGTATCTACTGTAGGTAAGAAAGAGGGTTATGATTGCGTAAGTATTAGAACTACGTGTATCCTTGCTGGCATTTTGTGGAATGATCTCTTTTTGCTTCGCGAATGCTCCCATATAATTACTTGAATCAGGCGGAAATACTTTCAAGTATAACTAGGTCTTCGCCCCCACAAAATACGTGACGTGCTATTCGGGCGTAAGTACAGCACAGTAATACAAATGCTGTGAATTGCATAGAACATCAACTTGCTACTTGTCTGCCACCAAGTTATGTACGTTTACGGCACTGCAGTATCTTCACAACTCTCCAATCGCACCCAAGGAGCGCAATTACTGAAATCGGCCAGTACTGACCCAACACATGTTTCACAATACGAAAACATGCGAGAAATCTGACATGCATCTAAGTGATGAACAGATAGGAACGGGCTTGGGTATCGCAAGTATGTTGCCCCTCCGTATGCAGGTTGCTCCACGAGGAGTGCGGGTTATCAACCACACCCACCTGCAGAGGCCAATTGAAGTTGGAATATGACAAGAACTCAAGGGATAGTAGTTATTCACATGCAAAGGGGTGGAAAGGTGTTAAAAAATGGTGAACTTTGACCAATCGAAATGCCAGCGTCTGTGGCATTTTGTGACTCCCTCTTTTGAGAGAAGAGATAACAGAGTCAATTCTCTATTGATGCTGTATAGTGTATATAATGGTGGCTTGAAACCACTCCCAGAGACTTCTAATATCCTAACTCCGAAAATCGAACCTCCCCGCACCAAATAAGTAGACACAATCAAGGCTGTTATGAGGCTAGTAGTTCGCGTAGATTAGTCGAGAATACATTACAATTCGGTAAATAGACAAAGGTACTAGAAAGATTCTTATTATTGACTTCCTATCGTTGTTTACTACGGAACGGCCATTTTTGAAGTCTTTTTGTCTTAAACAATAGAAGAAAGCTTATTTATCAGGCCTTAGGTATTGTGACTATTGGGGTTACATGAGGTGAAATAGTTTACAGGAGAATTATGTATCGAACATTCCAGACTTCTTCTTACTTGCCCAGGTATACACTGTAGCGAATTAATTTCTTAGCAAATGTAGAACCGTATCTGATAATAATTTCTAAACTTGAATTAAACTTGTTCTTTAATCGAATTTACGGTAATCAGTGAACATAAAGCGTCTTATTAATAGTAAACATAATCCTTGAACCTCTCTTCACGGCTATGGGGCCATATTACCTCGTTTTTATCTCCATTTTCGTAACTTACGCCGAATATAACGCCCTCCTTCTCTTCGTTACCTTATAAGAGATATAACTAATACTCTATATATACCTCTCTTAGAATAATATTATTTCAAAAGCCTTATATAACCGGAACAGTATTTAGAGTTATATAACGAGTTTGGAATAATTGTTAACGCTTACTTTTTACTAGACTAGGTATACTAAATTAGTTAATTCAATTGTGTTGGAAGTTTAGTATAATAACTCTTATACAGTGTATACAAAGTAATGAGCAGGTATCTTACGCTGTCTGTCCCGCCGATGTTACCAATACCATCTTCACACCTACTGTGCCATCTTTAATGAGATTACTCTGAAGGATAAGGGAACGAAAATCAAAATTAGTAGAAATGTACGCTCCTGAAGGAATCTAATATAATCCCGCCCTTGCTAAGGAACGGAAAGAACATCTCACGACAAGACTAACTCTCCGTCGTAGAAATATCAAAAGGAGGTTGGGTCGCCATGGTATATAAGCAATTGCGGTCATATTAATGACAGTACTACTTAAGTAGTATAGAGCAGATAAGTCTGAGCCCCTATAACACCCTTACCAATTCCACTCTAACTGATATAAGTATGCTATTACGGAGCCTACATACTAACTTCTTAACAAAGCAGCGTGCCAGCAAGGGCAGGGATCATGACAGTAAAGTTACATTATTCCCTGGGAACCGGCCATTTAAGTTACGAAATCTATATTACTGTAAATCACTTAATATAAAAAGCTTTTGTTATACCCGATGTGCATACAATTGCCAGGGTATGGAACATCGTGAAAGGGCGTTTCTTACGGACGTTTATATTTTTTAGGACGTAAGTATATAATATATAACCTAGACTCGTCCCTTTATCCAATCGAGGACAGTGAGAGCGAAGATTCTTGGCAGGACGAAAAAAAAGAACGATAGTATTACGATCAGCTTTGGTCAAGCGAGCCACAAAACGGATCACTGAATGCAAGACTTCCCACTCAGAATGTGGCGATTGCCAAAATTCTGAGCTCATCGATGTTCTGTCGCTAAGAGTGTGGACGGGTAAGGAGTTAGGAATGTCACACTAACCCCCAAGGTACCATGCATGCTACGTTAAGCTACTGTTGGGATGCTCGATGAACCTTCATCTTGTCCGAGGTAATGTGCCTTGTGGAAGCAACCTATTGTTTAATCTACTTACTCTGTCTAAAGACAATGAATACACATCGTAATAACCAAAGTTACGAATTATAATACCCAACTCCCCTTCTAATTCCCTCGCAATAATAAATGGGTAAGAAGAATAACTACAATAAACCCTCACCATCCCTCCATCTATAATCTAGACTCTAGAATAAACACCCAACCTATTCCCCGCACCACAAAACTCCAACCCATCACCCGGACACACGAACCCGCACTCCTCATCTCTCACAGTAGAACTTCCCGTCGAAAGAGAGTTACCGCAATAACCTGCATATCAAAAGAGCAAATATTAGCAATCTATCATCTATCATTTGAAAGGAGAAGAAAAAGAAGGCGGGAAACATACACTCTCCGCCATACTCCGTTCCCCAATACTTGAACCCCCCACAATTCTGCGCACACATTTCTAATGTCATGGATGTGTAATTGTAAAAGGCTGCTTGGTTGAGCGTTCGGGTTGAGGGAGCTTCCGTGTAGCAAGATAGGTAGGTGAAAGTGGTGTTGTCGCTTGTAGGTAGGCTGATCGTTGGTTTTATGGCTGGGGTTGTCTGAATCGGATTTGTGGGCGCTGATGAAGAAGGTGTGGAAGGGATTTGCGAGTAGGCCGCTGGGCTCAGAGACGAGGACGATGGTAGGGTTGGGAGTGCTAAGGAACTCGACGTTGGCGATGATGAGCTCAAGCCTTTCACATCCGTACCATTCCTGATGTAAACACTTAATCGGTTCCCTCCACCACAGTACTCAAACTTATCTCCAGCACAACTCATCGAGCAATCATTATCGGAAACGAGAGTTGATCCAGGTCCAAAAGAATCTGCACACCAGCATTCTCTGGAGTATTCTAGTCCTGCAAATTTGTAAGGTGTATTGGAACAAGCTGCTACGCAAAGCTCTACAGTTTGTGAATCTGTGGGGTAGAAGGCTGAGCTGAGCGCTCGAACGCTGCTGGGTTCTGTGTAACAGCCTGCGTAATTGTAGAGACCGACGGATGGAACGATATGGAGGGTTGGGGATGAGGTCGGGGTTGTTGGAATGGTGGAAGAAGTTGATGTGGTAATGCTCCGAGATACTGAGGAAGCATTGGATGAGGATGGAGATACAGCTATTCCGCTTGAACTACCGCTAACTGTGGAAGAGCTTTTGGTCGAAGAAATTACCGAAGATGATTGAGCTGGAGACGAGGTTGAAATCGACGAGCTTAAGCTGGTTGAACTAAACTTAGTACTTGATATAGAGCTACTCGTACTTGCTACCATACTGGTAAGTTTGTAAAGCTCAAGTCTGTTTCCAGCTCCTGTCTCAATTTAGCTTCAAGAATCAGATAAAAGTATGTAAATTCTTACCGCAATATTCATACTGATTTCCAGGGCAGGTAAATCCACAATCGCCTAAAGTTGCAAGGGTTGAGGTAGCATCAAGAACGTTCCCACAATAGCCTATTAGCCTGGTCAGTAAGATGTTGTGATAAAAAGGTTGGGAAAAACGAGACATTCTCCTCCATATTCAACGCCAAAGTATGTAAACCCGACACAACCGTTTGAACAACTTTCAAGTGTCATCGATGGATAATTATAGAATGAAGCTCCTGTGAGTGCTCGAGCCCCAGTTCCTTCGGTGTAACATCCTTGAAAAGTATATGCTCCAACAGTTGGCTTTCTCGCAAGCGTAGGAACTGGCGTTGCTGATGAAGATGTTGATGTGCCGATTATGCTTGAGCGGCTACTGCTCGGCGTTGCGATGCTTGTGGGAGATGTACTGGTTGGTACAGGTGCGTCTATGGAAAGACACGTCGCACCAAGTCCACTTGTATCTTTGAAATCATCTGCAAAGGCCCCATTTGAAACGCCAAACTTTGTTCCCGCTGCCGAAGAAATTGTTGCACTAGCACTGTAAAGATCAAAAAGCCCAACCGTGGCACCCTTTGTCATGACTACGGTCGAATTTACCAGAGCAGGTATTGGTATATCCGACGCTCTCGGTACTTTTTGAGTAATTATCAGTTTGACTGGGGTAGTTGAAGTGCTGCGAACCTGCGATAGTCAACGATTTTATCCTGTAGAACTTTCAGATTTGGATAATTTACTGCTGCAACCACCGTAAGATTCCCATTGCTGAAGCAACTTTGGGATGATTGGAATATCACCGTATCTTGGATCGGAAACCCACCGCCATTGTTGGAAAATGTTGTAGTAAGCCCACCAGTTTCTGCTACAGCCACAGTGAAAGATGATATCGAGGAAGAAGCGGGTATGTTCGAGCTGAAAGAAAGAAACTAATTAGAGTGTCAGTATCTTCAACCGTCCCAACATCTTTAGACCTACGGCAAATCTATCATCAAACCCGTTCGCACTCCCTCCGAGGGTCGTAGTAATAGTGCCGCCATTTCCGCCATTTCTATCTGTGTAGGTTATTGTAACACTTGAGACAGTTCTCGTGGTAGTCCTAACCCGAATATCACCAGAAAATCTGATATCATTACCTTCAGCCAACAAAGTAAGTTGTATTCCACTTGGCTTTACCTCGTATGGCGTGATGACATCTGATAGTATCACAGTTGGTGGTACTGTATCAATCATACGCCCAAGAATGGCAGAGCACACATTATTGAAAACTTGAGCATCTGTCATGGCTTTGATGGTAACATTTCGGTCTGCTGTAAACACAGCAAAGTCGGAGTTCCTGGTGTTCCCGACTGAAGGCCCGACGGTAAGCGGATCTGAGATGGGACCACTGACATATTGTACAGCAATCTTGTTATCGAATTGGAGCGTGGTATCAAATAATTGGTAATCATTTGGTGCAGTCCCAGCTGTGACAATTTCCGGAAAGTTTGCAGCATGAACTCCTCCGATTGCATGGCCACATGCCGTCATCTGAACCATATCTGGAATACTAAAGCCCATCCGAGCGAACTGATTGACGAAAGATCCTTGGCCATTCTGGGGTTGTGGTACACCAATTGGCCCTTTGGCTGTAACATCAACTCTCCCACCACGCATCGGTACTACAGGACCACCACAGCCACGCACAGATGCGTAAACCCCGAGAGCTATCATGTCGGCGATTGATAGGCGCGAGTTGAAATGGTTGGAGTATGTATTTAATGACGTGACAAAACCTGGTCCAATATTTTCTCCGTTTGGTTGCAATTCGAATGCAATAGATCCATCGAGTCCACCATATGGTTCGAAAAAGACGTTTGCCGTTGCCATATCGTGAAAACCGATTCGAAGCCATTCGGCTGCAGTTTGACGTCCTGCTCCGAATTCTGAAAACGAACATGGGGTGATATGTGACGAGAATCCTCTACTTTTATAACCAGTGTTAAGGAACATAACATCTTCCAATTCATCGATGGCAGCAGGCCATGTTGGAGCTGTGGTGGATAAAGCAGTAAGAAGAGCAAGGCATCCCAAAAGAGAAGGAGGTAGCAGCAACATGATTAGAAAATTATTAGAGAATAATCACGCAATACAGGTTCAAATGAATGACTGGCTACGCTGAAAGTCGACGAAGCCAAACAGTGAAAGATAGTACAGTAATAGCAAGAGTGAAGAAGACATGTCGTTAATATATTGGTTTTTTCTAGAAGGGACAGTCTCAGCCGCATCATGGCGAATGCTGGAATGGGCGTGCAGCAAGGCAAGGAGACTGACAAGGAAAAACGCCTCGTATCTGAATTCAAGCCCTTGGAACAGGGGTGATGATTACCGTGGGTTAGTGTACGTAGCTGTATGCCTTCTATCCTATCAAAATCTAGACCAGATTGACTCGATAAGCCACGGCACGAAAGTTCCGAAGCCCTATCTTCTTCTTTTTTCTTAAATGTGACATTCCTTGTCTGGTTGTCACAAAAAGGGGGTAGTGCAATATATTACTGCACCACATCCATTTCTGCTAGCAATGAAACGCTTGTTTCAAGCAGACAGAACTCAAAGACTAAACAAATAATGTGTCCGTGAGCCACGATACAGTGGGTGAGCAAGTAGCACCAATACTTCGGAGCCTACTCTCGGCACTTCATTCTATCTCTCTACAGCTTGCAGGTAAGCTAGAGTATGAAGGACGATATTTACCGAATCAGATATAACACAGGTGTACCATGTATGCGAGTCCCAGATGTGCGGTAAATCTACACCTGCGTGGTCCAATACAATCTGGCGGATTTCTACTACAAAAATCTCCGATCCATCTTAATTCGGGACCACAGAGATCTGAGGAGATGTGCTCGAGGCCAGTCTATCGAGGATATATTGGCATACCCGGTGACGGAACTGGAACAGCAATGGCAACGAGACATCGATGCAGAAAAAGCAAAGTTGAAAGCTGATGACTGAGATTGGAATCGAAGGGGGGAATTTATGGTGGAGAGTCAGGAGGGGCTCGCTTAGTCAGAACCCCTACCTATGCATTGCATTATTGGCTTTGTGCATTGCATAAATGGAGCAAGGCTTACTTTCCGCCGCAGGTATGATAGATCTGTTTGATCGGAAAATACGAACTATCGGTAACGCTTCCTAAAATAGCTATATAATTGTTCTACGAGTAAGTGTAAATAGTCCGGTTTGGTGTGTCTGATGTTCGATTTTATGAAAGGGGGGTTGGTGTTTTGTTTCTTTCCGCTTCACTACGATGCAACCAATTCTTCGCAACCGAGAAGATGAAATCTCATCAATTCCGTCCACTCACTCCACACCCTTCTTTCTCATCATCCTCGTATTCAGCGCTCACGAGTTACACCACTTCGACTTATCGGGTTAGCTTCTTATCTCGGTCTTAGCTTGAGAAGAGATACTTTCCTTGAAGCTGAAGCTAAGCTGAGCCTATCTCACCTGCATACGAGTACCAATCTCAAAAATGGACCCCGCACCTAACCCCTCCGAAGACCCGATTGTCACGCTTTTAGAGAGCTACAATGATTTCAATAGCGCCCAAATCACCGTTCTCTACGAAGAGCCATCTGCATTAGAATTTATGCGATATGTGGCTATCAATCGACCTTTTGTCGTTCGTGGTGCTGCGAATGATGTAAGTCAAGGATATTTTTCCTAGCGCATCCTTTCTTGCTGCTGCCTTTTTAATTTAGTTCGTCTGCACGTTTGCTTCAAAGTTTTCACTCTTTCTGATTCGAAATTTACTATTCGAATGTTGAACTCCCTTTTGACCTCTTGCGGGCTCTCTTAAGAAAATAGTCATGTAGGCCGGACTGTTGTAACCATGTTCAAGCCAACTGAATGTGGACCTCAAACATATTGCTGGCCCCCTTCCTCAGAACACAAAAACCTTGAAAGTTCTGGCCCAGGTGTCCTCTAGGCGATGGATGGTATACTTCTCACCACTCAATCTCTGCGTTCAACAATAGAGCCTCAGCAGACCTTTTGTGACGAAATACTCGAGTACTAACTATCAAATTTCAGTGGGAAGCAACAAGAACTTGGAATGTAGCCAAACTAAACGAGGTTATGGGCGGACTAGAAGTAAATGTAGCAATTACACCAAAAGGGTAAGGAAGTATTCCCTCTAACCGCATATCCATTTCTATCTCCAGTTCTCAACCATTCTCCAACATAAAAAAGAAGCTAACATCCCAAATCAGAAACGCAGACTCCCCAACAAAAGACCCATCAGGAACCCTCCTCTTCGCAAAACCCCTCGAAGAAAAAGAAGAATTCACCTCCTTCCTAACCTCCCTCACAACCCAAGAACTCAAGGGTCACACCCCAGGATCCTCAATAAAATACGCACAAACCCGTACATCCCCCGTCCCATTCCTTCCACACGCAACTAAACAAAGCACCCAGAAAACAACAACCTAAACTCCGAATACACCCCCCTCTCCACTCACGTCCCAGCCTCAATCCCCTTCTCCCGCCTCGCACTGCAAAACCAACCCGACGCAGTAAACCTCTGGATCGGGAACTCACATTCCGTAACAGCACTACACAAAGATCCCTATGAGAACATCTACGTCCAGATTCTGGGGGCGAAGCATTTCGTCCTGCTACCGCCGATCATGTATCCGTGTATCAGGGAGAAGGAGCTGAAGAGTGCTAGCTATGTGAGAGATTCTGAGGGGGGGCTGAGGATTGAGTTGGATGGGGAGGGGAATGAGATGGTGCCTTTTGCGACTTGGGATCCGGATGAGGGGGGTGGGAGAGAGGGGTATGAGAGGTTTGCTAGACCGATGAGAGTTACGTTAGAGAAGGGGGATATGCTTTATTTGCCTGCCTTGTGGTATATCTTCCGCGATTACTTCCCAATCGCAAACTACCGATAGCACTGTTCTAACTTTCCACCAAAAAGGTATCACAAAGTATCACAATCCTGCAACGAAGAAGGTCTTTGCTGTGCTGTAAACTACTGGTACGTCTAGCCTTCCCCTTTCCATGCCATATTGCGATTTTCTCCATCCCGGTATCTGTATTTGTGGCTTACTAACCCATACGTCACAAAGGCATGACATGGAATTCGGAGGGAGTTTTTATCCCCTGGTAAACCTAGTAAGAAACCTCACGTTAGCCAAGGAGAAGGAGAATAAGACAACAGCAGACTCCTCGGAATAGAGACAGAAAGAACAACAGCAAAACGAGAATTTTAAAAGTACCTCTTGCTTGCCTTATATAGCAGAACCAAACAACACAATTTCAAAATGAATCCTGCTATAGTATAATAGGCCAAGGACTCTCGTCTTTTTTCAAGAATATCGAATACTTAGAGATCCCGGAAGTATAGCTAGAAGTGAGATGGTAGTAGAGGATATGTTAAAGGTGGTTTCAGTCACGAAAGGGGTTTAAAAAAAAAGGGTTCTAATCGGGTTTACGAGTGATGAAGTATAATTGATAGGAAAAGATGGATCGGGAATAAATACCATCTAAAAAGAGAGAGAATTTTAGATATAATTGCCTTAGCCTCTTCCATTGTTCTACAATACATGTGTAGTATAAACCCTCCACACTCCACACTCACTCCACATCCCCCACACCCCATAGACTCCCTACAACCCAGACAATCTACCTCATTCCTCCTCACATCCACCAAAAACCCTCATACCCAACTTCCACCATCCATAATACTATAAACCTCGCACTCAAATCAGAGCCTTTCCCCATTCCATCTATTATAGTACGAAAGAAGTATTCCATCTCTTATAATACGAAAGGGCCCCCACCCTCACCCCCACCCCCAGTCATAGAACCCATATACCTCTTATCTATTTACTAACTACTCGAGTATCCCTCACAAATTCGTACGTATTAGAATCAATGGTCAATAGACTTTATTCCCAATCTTTGCTTGGAATACTGGTAGAACGGGGGGTGTGGATGAGACCTACCTACCTAAGACCCCCTTTTGCACGAGCACGAGTAATTGACGACTTCTTATCTAGTACTAGTACTAGTATATTCTGTATATCAGGTACTAATTCTATTCCGTTTATTTCTATAGCTCGTATTTCACCCTCGCTCTATAGGTATACACGAATCAATTATTCATAATCGTACTGTAAAACAAACTTCATACATAACAAATAAACAAAACCCTAAGAAAAACGAAGAAATCACAAAAGGTTTACGAGAAAGTTAAGAACCTACTCTACATTTGCGAACTATAGGACCTTACTTCTCCTTCCTAGGAGGGTGAATAGAGGAATTGAGGGGATAGTATACTCGCTACCAGACGTTAACATAAGTAAGAAGGTATTAGGTAGTTAATGTAATAGGTACACATTTCATTCTCATGGCACACGAAGATTTAGCAAGATCTTACTCCATGCACAAAACAAATGCGACGAAAAAAGGAACAAGAGCAAAAGATTTTTCAAAATCTAACTTTTTTTGTATCTCACTAGGTAGCAAACATAAAAGCCCACCTACTCTTCCCTTCACTCACTACCACGCCCTCATGCCATCCACCCATCATGCCCTCATCACCACCCATTCAATTCCCTCGGCCCCACGGGTACCGACTAGTTGGTTACCACATCCATCACACTCATTTGCGATCAATGTGGCCACAGAGAAAAGAGAGCAAGACACAAACATACATGCCCTACCTATAAGAGAAAAGAAGACAAAACGTGGAGGGAAAAACGAATTTTTGGCCAGAAGATGAAAAATCGACGCCGGGCAGCCAGATTCCCCCAGAAAACATTTGCGAAAAGACAACCAAATCGAGAGGAAACATCTGTGCAAAGTCCCGCCCAATACTATGCGTTCTAAGGTGCAAGTCGTTCGTCCAAGAAAAAGGTGGGTGATGGTGGTGTCGCGAAAATATTTCATGGTCGTATGAGGAACCAGAGAGCGCAGAAGAGATCTAGAGACATTATCGCAGATCCAACGCCAAAAGAAAGTCGTGTCAAGAGGAGCAGAGGATGGATGAGACAGGGCGAAAAGCTTTTCGAGTATTTCGCGCGAGGAGGAAGGGTTGAATGCCAGGCATGCATCAAAATTTATATGTCACAATTCCCGCCGCATATTTTAGTGGCAGTCATCTTGTACATTATAAACAGATTATCATGCGATCACTCGTGAGGCCTGGTTTCCTCCACGGCTGTTCTTCTTTGGCTTTGAGACTGTACTCCAGCCATCTTCTTCAGTAGGAGCCTCACCACCCGGACTGGCTGGTGTTTGGGCAGGGCTTGCTGGAACTCCACCGTTTGTGTCTCTTCGTGGTCCTCGACCTTCATCATAATTTCGTGGACCTCCGCGGCCTTCTCCCCTGCCTCGACCACCACCTCGACCGCCTCTGGGACCACGTGGGGTATCATCTCTAGGTGTTGGTGGTCCCGAGGATTGGCGTCTCCATGCTCCAGTCTCCAAAGCCTTTGGTCGTGTGTCACGAACAATTTCCCTTGGCTTTCCGGATTTCTCATCGGCGGGTTTGCCGTTGGGGTTCTCGTTCTCGGCACTCTTTTCACCGCGTTGAAGAATCTCAACCTTGCCTGCCTCAGATTCTTGCTTCTCAGCTTCCTCTGGCTTGGCTTTTGCTGCGGCTTCCTTTGCCTCAGCCTTTGCCTTCTCCTCGGCCTCTTTCTTCTCTTGCAGGGCGGCTAGTCTCTTTTCTTCAATCTCCCGTTCTTTTGCGGCAGTATCGATTGGACGGGCGGCTCCGAAGGGGCTTGCTTTTGAATCGCCAGCAACGGATGATGGTGATGCAAGTGGTGCCTCGGATACTGTTCGCTTGGCCAGGTTCAATCGAGGTCTACCACCAGCTGGGACAGCGGCTGCTGGTGCTGGGGAAGAAGGCGCCTCGCTTCCATCTCGAGAAGCGGCGGGTGACTTGGCTGCTGGTGCATCGGGTCGCATTTTGGTACGCCATTGATTGTCTTGTTCAGCAGCAGTTGGAGCACGCTCAACAACAGGTCGTTCTTGAAATTCGCGTCTTGGTGGTCTCGAGCCTTCCTGTGAGCCTTGTGCGCGACCTTCACCCCATGCAGCTGGTGAGGATTTACGGTCTCTGAATCCCTCGCCACGTGGGCCGTCGTTTGTTCCTGGGCGACCGCCCTCTCTTAGTGGTCCACGATCGGGTTGAGCCATTGGTGATAATGGTCCCTTACGTTCCCAGTTGCCGAAGTCGCGAACCTTGCCATCTCCCTCGGGGAATCGTTCCTTTCGCTCGCCTCCACCATAATCAGATCCAAATCCACCACGGCCTGAATCTCTTCTATCGTTGCCTCCTCGTCCTGGCAAATCTGGCAATGGCCCCTTTCTGCTCCAGTCGTTGAACTCTCTGGTTGGTCCATCTCTATCCTTTGCTATGAGAGGAATTGAATTAGCAAGTGTTAGTACGGATACAGGGATATTGACGTACGTGGATCTGCAACACTGATTCTAATGTTTCGTCCTTGGAATTGAGTTTGATTGAGAGTCAAAGCTGACTTCAATCCTTCAAGGGTGGCGAACTCTGCATATCCAAAACCCTTGGGCTTCATCTCAAGCTTGTCCTCGATGATTCGAACATTTGTGCATTCGCAGCCAGTGAAAAAGTCGGTGACATCACCAACAGTTGCATCAAATGAAAGATTTCCCAAGTGAACAGTGAATGGGGGTTTATCTGGGAGTGGGAGCTCCTCACGGACAGAATATCCTACATGGACAATTAGCTACATGCTGTCAGACAGCTGAATCCATGCTGGTACTAACCTCCAGAGGTTGCCCCTCCATAAGCACCAGTGGTGGAGTTATATGTACGTCGCTCTTGTCCATAGCCAGTTGTGCGGGAGTCTACCAAAAGTAAGTATTTAATTGTCTGGTGCTGTGCGCAGAAAGAGGGAGGTAGGTGGGGTAGTGAGTGTCTGCGTCTGCTTTAGGAATCAAAGTGAACGTACCAGCTAGAGGCGTTTGTTAGTAAAATATGCAGATGTTAGATCAGAGCGCAAACTTACAGACTGGCATGTCCTCCATCTCATCGGCCCATGATCCCATTTCTGTGGATTGTCAGTTCCCAAAATCCTTTGAGGGGCAAATGTCGTGGTGGGCTTACTTTCGTCAGTCAAGAAGGCCCCGAGGGACATCTTCTGCTGCTCCTTCTTTTTGGGAGCTGCGCGCACCTGGTCAGCGGTGTCTCTTCATAGAACCATAGTATCGTTTGACACCTCTTGATTGGGAGGTCGCTCAAGAAGTGCCTGCAGCCTAGCTTACCCATGATTGCGGTTTGTTAGGTAAAGAACACTGCGCGAGACTCTGGGCCTTGCGCGTTGTCCTTGCGGGGTGTTTGAAGGATCTCGTGTCCTTCAGGAGTCGTTGTGGAATTGTCCGATGGAATTTGTCAAGTTCTGTGACTTGATCGAGTTGGGGTACGTTCAGTGCGGAGGATGGTGGGCGAAGGTGAGGAGCCCTGAATTACTACTTTTTTCCAGGCGACATGGGTTGTGGACCATTTGCCGCTAGCTAGTGCCTCATCACGTGCCCATTAAACCATCGCAATCCACTTCTGATGGGTGAATTTTATGGCCAGTCTTGATCTGTTTCTACCCTAAGCCGCGACCAAGCAGAAACTAAGCAGAAACCATACAAAAATAGTCACCATAGATTGAACGGAGATTGCCCCTATTTATTTAGTCTCTGGATGGCGCGATTGATGGTCTGATAATTAGGGCAATTTTGGGTTCACAAAAGGCGAAACACTGAACCCTTGCCATCATCGTGACGATGGTAGAGCCAACCCAAGGTTCGCAGTCTGGAGGAGGGGAAAAGGATCCAAATGTCAAGATCCACGTGAAAGCCCAACGACCACCTGCAAGACAGACAACCAGCGATTTTTCAACAGACCTTGGCAATGCACTATACCCAAGTCTTCGATTAGCTGGCTTTGCTGGTAAGTGTTTTACATATTTTGAGCATGTCTATTTCTATACTAACAATCTTATAGGTGGATCTGGGGTTTTGTTTGGGGGGTTTACGGGCATTTTAACAGCTACGAAATATCCTATAATTCGTGCTATCAGTACCGGAGTGCAATTTTCTACCTTTGCAGCAACATTTGATGGTATGTTCACTAGCCTCAAGTTTTCTCCGCCACTAATAATAACCAATTGCTAGTATCGAGGAGTTCTATTTTACACTATTTCGGTGGTGATGTATCCCCAAAACAAAAAGTACAAGCGAGTGCGGCCGCAGGAGCACTTGGCGGAGCACTAGCTTCTACAATAAGTCAGTCACATTCTCTGCTCACGGAAACTCATGCTGACAATTTCATAGGAGGAGCATTACGAGCAGCTCCATCAGCTATAATATTTGCAGCCTTTGGAGCTACCGGTCAATGGGCCTACACTCGCAATAAAGCACATAACATGAACCGAGGACCAGAAAATAAAAATGCAGAAAAACATTCATGGTTGAACTCAAGATTTAGTCCCGTGAAGGTACTCACGGACAAGGAGTATAATGAGATGCTACAGGAGAAATTGTTGAATGTTAATGCTCAGATTGCTCTTATTGATGAGAGTATCGAGGCTTTGAGACAGCAAGAGAGGGAAGAAGCCGCAAAAGCGACTGGCGAGAAGGAGAAGCCCAAGTCAGGTTCTAGTTGATACGATATGATGAGTTTGTACAGTAACTGTTATATTTAGAATGCCCAGAAGTAATGGATCCATCTCAGCACCTTCTTCCTCATGAGCACAGCACCCCAAACTACCCAAGAGCGTATTCACCTATGCTCAAGAACCATTTTATCTACTTGAGATTCTCATTGGGACCGATTCTGATGTTTTGACATCTACAACCCTGCCGGTAAATAGGAATTCCGTAAATATCTCCAGAAGATACTAAACTAGGAAATTACCAACTCGCTTACCGGCTTCCCGTATGCGAGATCCGAAATTCTCAACCCCCATTCTAGGACGGATGACACTATTTTGAGGACTTTCTGCGATGTGCAACAAATTCGTGATTGATTATGACTTTACCGGTTGATGGGTTCGTGAGTTGGGGCTGTGGGGTTTGTTGACAAGGTTGATATTGGAAGGCTTTGGGTGTATTTATATCTAGGGATGTACTCGGCAGATCCAAAAATGAGATTCATTATTCGGAAGAGAATCTACGTGAATGACTTGCCCGGGTCACCTTACTCTCAGGCTGAACGACCTTTACCAAATTAGAGATAGTGAGAGTCTTTTGACCTTCAAAGTTTTCTGTATGAATCGATGAAGCTATTCAAGGCCGACGTTGGACCGAACAGGAAATGCGACTCAGGGGCGGTGAATCCCCCAAAATCCCATCTATTCAGTACCTAGATGATGGTTATTAATTCTGAATAGTAGCAGACTGGGTATGGGGCTCATTAGTATAGTAGAAGCTGAAGTCTTCACTCACATCCAACGAGGTGGACACCTGGTTGTGTAACTGCAGCTAACTGGAGCCTGATTCCTTGACTCGCTCTCACAGCTGCACGTCACTACTGATGGACACGAAAAATGCCCTGTGCACATGTGCACAGCAGCACACCTCAGCAGCGTAGCATAGGCATAGGTAGCCATAGTGGGGGGATAACAACAACAAAACATAACCTTTCACTTTATCGTATCGCAAGCTCCTCGATGCGCCTTGATAACCCCAATAAAAAAAATACCACCACATAAAACTCATCGAGCAGCACGCTCTAAAATACTTCGTCTTGGAAATCCCCATCCTCGTCGTCACGGCTTTCTTAATGGGATCGCCACGCAAACGAGCTCGTCCCAATCCCCCAAATCCCGTTGCGACCACGACCGACACCATACCAGAGCCCCAGCCATCAGAAGGGCAAGCAGGGGAGGCTACTAGGCCATCGTCAGTGTCGCCGTCGGCGGCGGATAGTACGAGTGTCCCCGAAAATGGTAGCACCAGTGTAGCTCCCACGACTGTTGCTCCCGAACGAAAGAAGACGGGAGGGATAGCTAAACAGGTAGGTCTTGGTTTGTGGTGGGGGCCCCGCTTGCTGGCAGAGAGCTTGCATGTCATCATCGAGGACGGCTTGCTAACGATTGCATCCAGTTGAAGCAGAAGAGTAGTTGGTACGGTACTTGGCCTCGCAAGTCGATCGCCTCAACTCAGGTGGCAAGAGAAACGATATTGGCAGATAAACCCAAGAACGCGAACGCGAACGGGAATACTGCTCCATCTGCTGATTTAAGGTTCGTCTTTCTGGATTTATACCTTTGCGCCGGCGTAGAAGAGAGAGGATATACTGCACTTAAAGACTTTGGGGTGCTGGTTATCCAAATATCTTCTGCTGGTCCAAATATTCCGGGGAAATGTATAGTCAATACTAACTCGGGTACTACAATAGTCGATTTGAACAAAAAAGACCCACTCTTTCGAGTTCGAGGCCACCGTCTATGTACCTGGGGAAAAGCAAGGAAACTCTGGATATTACAATAGGCGATATGGACGGGGCCTCGTCGACGAAGGATATAGAAGCTACCAGGCAGAGAAAGGAGACTAAGAAACCCGACAACAGCACTAAGGAGAATGACGCGAATTCTGGAGGCGATCCGAGTGGGGCAAAGGGAGAAGCAGCGAACGATTTGACATCTTCAATACCAGAGACACCTGCGCCTATTCGAGGATCCGAGTCTGTTGTGAGACCGTCCACTGCTTCTGGTTGGCTTGGTGGGTGGCTTAGTAGACCCAATCTACATGATGGTGCAGGAAATCTGGCAAAGCCTGCGAATAAACCGGAAGTTCTGATAGAGGATGAAGTAGCAGTCGCCAAAGATATCTCTCTACCACAGGAACAGCCTACGGGAGGCATACAACCATCCTCATCTGCGCCAGTATCTTCGTGGTTTGGACTATGGTATCCAGCGACGCCCGCCGAAACGACCGAGGCAATCCCTGTCAAAACACCTGATGCAAATAAGGATACAATAATGGGAGATGCACCAGCTCCTCCTGCTTCCAGCGCGCCAACATCAAGTAGTTGGGCGTTTTGGTCTAGCGATACAAAGGCCAAGAATGTATCGGAAGCAATTCCGGAGGTTGGCGAAGTTGCGATATCTGGAGAACCATCCCAAAATAGTCCTGAGCCAGCCAAGCTTTCAAAACCAATCGAAGCCAAGAAGAAGAAATCAAATAAACGACTTCGGAATCAGTCGGTAGATCTTGATCAACCGTCACAACAAACCGAACCAGTCACGGTTGCCGATATGCCACAGAGTTCAACTGCATCTAAAACGCAACAACCTCCTAATCTTCTCATCCCGTCTGTTAAGCAGACTTTTAGACTTGTAGAAAATACTTCCATTTTGCAGCAAATTGCTCGTCTTCTTTTACTATCTCAACAACCACCAGCCAAGCACGTGTATTTGGCCAAAGATACTCCAGTTGTCAAGCGGGCACTTGCTATTGGAATTCACGGGCTTTTCCCTGCTCCATTACTTCGGACGGTCATTGGACAACCCACTGGAACCTCTATCAAATTCGCAAACCATGCAGCATCGGCAATTAGACGATGGACAGATGCTCATGGGTACAAAGATTGTGAAATTGAAAGGGTTGCATTAGAAGGCGAGGGAAAGATTGCAGACCGAGTCGACAGTTTGTGGAAGTTGCTCCTGAATTGGATCGATCATGTTCGAAAAGCCGATTTCATCTTAGTGGCATGTCATTCCCAGGGTGTTCCAGTCGCCATTATGCTCGTTGCTAAACTTATCGAATTCGGTGTTGTATCTCAAGGGAGGATTGGGATCTGTGCAATGGGTGAGTTTCAACGTTACAATTACCCTCTCATTCTATGTGCTTTGGGAGGAATTACTAACGTTTTGAATTATAGCTGGTGTATCACTTGGACCATTTGCAGATTACAAGTCAAGATTTATCAGTGGTTCTGCTGGGGAAATATTTGAATTTGCAGACCCGGAGAGTGTCGTTTCGAAAAGATTGGAAGACTCTCTTCGGGTGGCGGTCAAATATGGGGCACGAATCACGTATGTTGGATCAATCGATGATCAACTGGTTTCGATGGAGGTTTGCACTTTAAATATCTAACCGCTGTTTTCATTTTGCTGACAATTTGTAGTCGGCTATATTTGCCACTGCTAGTCATCCTTACATATATCGTGCGGTGTTTGTCGATGGGAGGATCCATGCGCCTGACTTGTGAGTATTGAAATCCATACGTGACGTACCAGCTGACAATATTTTAGTTTGTCCCATCTTGTCGGATTTGCGCTGAAACTTCGTAATCTTGGTGTTTCTGATCACGGACTCATTCGAGAATTGTCCGCACCTCTTGCTGGCAGTCTTTACACAGGAGAAGGCCATTCGAGGCTGTATGACGATGGAAAGGTCTACGAGTAAGTTCCACCAAAAGCCATACATACCTTGAGATTGCACTAACTCATCTCCCCAGCCTGGCCATCGAGCACGCCTTGGAAACCACCTCATCGAGCGACCTTCCCCTTGAGCTCAAAAAATACGAGATCCCCAACACCTCCAACCCCTACGTCTTACCATGGATCATGCGCGGACTCCTCGAAGAGGAATTCGTGAAAACGGAACTTAACAATGAGACGACGGAGCTTCTGAAGCAGTTTGATGATTGGAGGCCTTCGACTAAGGTTCTTAAGGATGTTAAGTATCGGCTGGAAGCGGTACGGTCGAAGTTGTAAGATTGTGGGGATTGTAGGGATTGTGGGTAATAGGGATGTGGACATGGAAGCATGGGATGGGAATGGAATCGGCGTATTGGGTTTTAGGCAAAGTGGGATAGCACAAAGGGATAGCATAGAGGAATTTGCAGGTACTTGTATGGCTGGCGTTCTTTGGGTGGGAATGAGAAGATGAGATCACCAGATGAGATGAGATAGGATGGAGTAGATTATGTATGTTAATAAAGCGAGGTGAAGTGAAGTTATATTATCTACGTATGTGTCTGGTAAAGAAGGGACCCCTACCCTCGAGGGGTCGAGATGAGAAACGTAGTCGTTACTCTATATAGTATACACCTCTTTGAGAATTTTATTATCCCAAAGACCTTGTATAACTAAATTAATTACTACGAATACTATAGCTTAGAGTAATTTACTTTTTACTACTTATTAAGTAGGTAGGTGAAATAGGGTTAGTCTTTAGTATAATTATTTTTACAAAGTAAATACTAAGTTATACTCGAGTATAAGACTATAAAGGAATAACTAGAGTAATAAAACTAATATAATACGAGGCTAGACGGGCTCGCAGGCTCGCCCTCGCCCTCTTATGACGTCTAATAGTTTCTTTAAAGGATTATTTAATTTATATATTTATTTATTAATTATTTATTAATTCGTTATTAAGTAATTAGTTACGAGTACGCCGTACTAGCTACGCTAGCTCGTGCGAACTCGCCGGCATTTAAGTAGATAGCTTAGTTAAGGTTTTATACTTTAATAATAATAAGTTATTTAATAAAGAGTTAAAGCCTAAGGAAAAGACGGACTTGCGAGGTAGATTACGTAGCAAGGCTCTAAGCGACATACCCGACCCCTGCTACCCTACTAAAATCCACGGTCGTACTCGTCTAGCTTCTAGCCTACACCCTGCTTGCTACAGATATCGTAATAGCATAGCGAGAACACTGGAATATAGCCTGAACACTTAGAATATTATGATCGCTCTATGTGTGTTTGAAATACGATTCTAGCTAGATACAGGCGAGGGGTGGTTTTGAGTGCGGCTTTCGGTGTGGCTAGAGCGTGGCGTGGCTGTGCGCCTCACTCAGCTCACGTCCTACGTCATATACCTAGTATACTAGCCTAGAGCTACACCCTGCTAGCTACAGATATCGTAATGGCATCGCAAGAACACTGGGATATAGCCTGAATGCTTAGGATATTTATGCTCGATCTGTGTGTGTTTTAAATGCGGTTCTAGCTCGATGCGGGCGCGAGAGTGGTTCCTGTGGTTTTGGTGTTCCTGCGTGGCTGCGTGGGTGCCTAGGTGCCTACCTAGTGAAAGGCAAGCTCTACGGGGACGGAAAAAACTTCCTTTTTTGTTCCGTGCCGCACTGTCACGAATCACGTGCACACGTGACAAGTGAAGACCAGACGGCGTCATGACAAGCCAAGCACATATGGGCCTGGGAGCTTTATGTGTTCTGGGAAACCAGAGGGAGTTTTCTTATGTAAGCAGGAGCCGTTAATTGGTTGGATAATGTATATGGATGTATACCTTTACCAACATGTTGGTCACGTGATAGTCGACTGGTCGACTCGTCGACCTGTCGACCAACATTCCTTAGTAGTAGTATTCAGAGGACGAGGGTTCTATATAAGACTGGCACGTCTGCCATTTAGATAGGAGCTTCGTGCTCAACTTAGTTATCAA